GTATCTCTTGGAGACACGCTTCCAAGAGAGCTTTTCTGCCCTCTTCCCCTTTGTCCCTCTCTATGCTTATCATTGCAAAGACCAGCATGTCCTCCGGGGACTCTGTTTTCTTTAATTTCCTACTTGCATTATGCACAAAAGAAGGAAAGTCTGCAATCTGACTCAGCAATTAATAACATTTTTATTTAAAACATACACAGGAGAAATGGCTCTGAATTATCAAACATTAATCATTTTACGGTGTTTTATAGCAATAACATATTAACAACACACACTAGGTAAGTATTGTCATATGTGGCAGTAAATACAGTTTTACAGAGTATGAGGAAGAGCAGATATAGATACAGTTCCAGAAACTCCCCTTAATGGACATTGGATGTTCACTGCATCTTAAGGGAATGGGGAGATGTGAGACAACAGGTCAGAGAATACATCCTTAATAGTAGGAAGGAGGCAGAGGATGTCATTGATAAGAGAGAGGCAAAAGGCAGCCACAGCAGGCAGATGACCTGACCTTCTTCACACGGGAATGAAGCAGATCTTGTACAAGGGTGGCAAAGAAAGACCCGCAGCGGAACTCGAAGTGGCATTGAGCTTCTTTGGATCAATCAAGGATTTCAGGTTAAAGTTCTGTAAAATGCTGGTCAGGAATAAAAACAGCTCCATGCGGGCCAGTCCTTCTCCCGCACAAATCCGTTTTCCTGAAAGTAATAAATACCAGGGGGAGTTACTACTTATGTGCAACTGTGACTGTAACGGGTGCTGTGTTTGTGATTGTCACTCTTTGATGAACTCTTTGATGAATGCTTGGATGGAAAAATCAATTGATGGATGGATGGAAAGATGACTGGATAGAAAAGTGAACAAAGAATAGCCACATTTGCCATCCACCTAACATCTGATCTTAACAAAGACCCTTCATTGAACAAATGTTCACTGAATAACAGCTCCATACCAAGCAATTCATTAAGTATTCTCACACTATAACAGCTCCCTTGATATTTTGACTTTAAATCTATATATCTACACAACCATATCCATATTCTCACGTTTCCTGTTTCTAGTCTGAAATTTGGTGATCTTTCCTTCCACTCTTCATATCCTCTATGCTCAGCTCAAGCCATACACACTCTTCATCAGCCTCCAATACAACAAGTCTGAAGTTTTATACTATTCCTTTTGGCCAAGATGCACTTTTCAGAGACAAATTCAGGTCACACGTCAAATTCCATTTCTTCTTTGCACTCTTTGCCATGTAGTCAAGTAATAAAATCTTGCCCTTTCTGGGTTTCCACAGCATAATATTATTGCTTTCAATAAAGCAATGAAGTTCATCTGGAATCATAATTGCCTATTCATTTATTTCATTTATTGATTTTTGTATCGTGCTAAAATTTGAACTCTTGAAGGGAAGTTTCCATCTTTTCATCTTGGTATCTACACTGGTAGATATAAAACAGGCATAAAAGGTCACAGAATAGAGAAGTTTCCATGGCCAGAAATTCAGCACACATATTGAAAGACGGAGATCCAATACCCAAGATGTATGGTCATCACTGGAGAACAGCAGGGTGTTATGGAATCATTGCAGAGGATCCAGCCTCATTAACAATGTATCTCTGTCCCCATGGATAGTTGGAAAATGTTCTAACCTTCTTGATTTAGAGCAAATGTCGTGCTCCTGTGGTTCATTACCTTCTCAAAAATGCCCTGCTTTCTCTCTTTTCCATTTTCTCTGCCTCCTTGGAGGTAGCTGCTGTTATAATGTTGCTTACTCCAGCTTACTGTGCCTCATTGTGGGTTATGAGAGACCAAGAAGCAGGCAGCTTCTCCCTCTGTCCCCTACACCAAGCGGCCTGTGCTTTGCTTTTCTCTCTCACAGCCCAGTCCTACTGAATTACAATGGGCTGTTTATTCATCTGCTTTCCGAAGTGGGTGTGAGGCCCTTTGGTGCCCATTCTGTGCTTGGTTTTTTTTTGAGTTATTTTTTTTAATTACAGGATATTAGGGGCTACAAACATTTTGGTTACATGTTATGACTTTGCCTCACTCAATCCAAGATTAGAGGTATGCCCTTCCCCCATACAATGCTCACCACATCCATTAGTTGTCAGTTTACCCACTCCCACTGCCCGAATCCCCAGTGAATATTACTACCATGTGAGCACCTCATTGTTGAGGAGTTAATGCCAATTTGGTGGCAAGTACATGTGGCGCTTATTCTTCCATTCTTGTGATTCCTTCCTTAGGAGAATGGACTCAAGCTCTCTCCAGAATAATATAAGAGGTTCCAGATCACCACTGTTTTTTGTAATTGAGTAGTATTGCATGGTATCCATATACCACGTTTTAGTAATCCACTCATAGATTGCAGGGCACTTGGGTTGTTTCCACGTCCTTGCAATAGTGAATTGTGCTGCCATAAAAATTTGAGTGTAGATGTCTTGATTATAGTATGTCTTTTGTTCCTTTGGGTAGATGCCTAGTAGTGCCATTGCTGGATCAAATGGTATTTTTATCTTTAGCTCTTTGAGGTATGTCCGAATCATTTTACACAGAGGTTGTACTTTGCAGTCCCACCAGAAGTGTAAAAATGTTCCTATCTCTCCACATCCTAGCCCCCATTCTGTGCCTGTTCACATGTGAATCCCCAAAGTTCAGATGGGTGATGTGGATACCAAGGTGGAAGACAGTCAGTGAAACTGCAGAGTGAGAACCTTTGCTGTGGCACATGAGGAAAGTCTAAATAAGTTTTGCATTCTAGGAACAGTTTTTGAGTACCTCGGTGATGTATCAAAGGCAGAATTCAATTTACCTATACTTCAGCCTTCCTGATTATGAAGAATGAGTTTAACTCCCCAAAGCACCATGACTCTGGCCCAATGATGAGGATGTACAATGATGAAGGAAGTACATAGGCATTGCCAGTGGTGCTCCTGAACATGTGCAAGGAGCATTTCTACCAGTCCCAGAGGAGAAAGCATGTAAGTTCCAACCAGTCCCCAAAAGTTTTCTTGTCCTCTAATATAAGAAAGGAAATAAATTTCTATTACCTGTTGAGAAAGGCATGAAGAAGTTGCTTTTTTTAAAGTTGCCACTGTCATCCAGAAAATGACCAGGATCGAACTTCTCTGGGTTGGGGAATTCTTTGTCATCGTGCAGCACAGATGTCAGGGATGCTAATATGGGTGTGCCCTGGAAGCAATAGACATAGGTAAACCAAGTTATGAAGGAGTCACAAAGCTGTAAGACACAACAGTAATTACCTAGATAAATCTTTTGATCTATAGATGAAGAAACATAGGTCCAAAGAAGAGCAGGAACATTTCCGGACACACGGACCCAGTCATCAACAAGGATGAGTTTAAGATCAGTGGTGATGATCTTGCTGAAGTCCTCCCCAATCACAGTTGAAATCCTGAGAACTTGGTCACTGCGGTGATAAATGTTCTGAATGTGTTCTTCTTATCACCAAGTTTGGAACCCAGGGTCTATCCCCACAGGCTGGTCTATTTCATCACATCAGTTTCCACACATCCTATATGTAGACTATGGTGTAAAATCGAAATCTCTGTTGGCACTTAAAATATCCAGACCACTTGTCCCAAGGACTCTTTTAAACTGGATTGTATGATCTAGTAAAATTTAAAATGACATTTTCTAATATGAAAACAAAAAGTACAATAACAAGACTAAAATGACTGAGTGTTTATGATTGCTAAGTGAGTTTTTTGTTTTGATATAAAATCATTGGAGAGATATTCATTAGAGATTTATCCTAACTTACAACCACAGAAGGGATGATGGAATTAGAAAAATGCTCACTTTGTGACATTCAGATAAGGATCATCAGTTAAAGCTGAAACTCTTGGGTGTGTGATTTGGGAGGCAGGATTTACATAAAGTCTTAAAGTACTGTGCCATGAATATTCATTAATTATCCATAAATCTACATTGCAAAGCCTCTGCAATGCAAGGATCTGGCAGATACCACCTTATTACTGAGGAAATGAGCATAACCAATAATGGCACAAGTGACATATGTGCCCCACCTCACCAATGAGATTCTGTGGGATACTCAAAGCACCTATGCCTTATTCTTCCCAAATCGTAGCTGGAATTGAATCTTTAGAACACAAAAACAGCCTAAGGAACATTATAAATGGCTACTAGCTTGGACTCCACAAAAAAATCAACATACTATTTAACTAACGAGGTAAAAGACCTCTACAAGGAGAACTATGAAACATTGAGGAAGGAAGTATCAGAGGACGTAAACAGGTGGAAAACCATACCGTGCCCGTGGGTCGGCAGAATCAACATTGTTAAGATGTCTATACCATCCAAAGTGATCTACAGATTCAATAAAATCCCTATTAATATACGAACATCATTCTTCACAGATGTAGAAAAATTGATTTTATGCTTTGTATGGAACCAGAGAAGACCCCGCATAGCAAAAAAAATTCTAAGCAATAAAAACAAAATGGGAGGTATCAACTTACCAGACGTCAAACGTTATTGTAAGCCTGTAGTACTCAAAACATCTTCGTACTGGCACAAAAATAGAGCCATTGACCAGTGGAACAGAACTCAGAACCCAGATATAAAACCATCCTCATATGGCGACCTAATCTTTGAGAAAGCAGACAAAAACATACACTGGGGAAAAGAATCCTTATTCAATAAATGGAACTGGGAAAACTGGATAGCCACATGTAGAAGAC